AGATGTTTCTTTTCCAGTTTCTTTCTCTGCATGGGAGTGAGGTCATCACCTTCTTAGAAGCAGAATGAAAAAGGAAAAGCTAAGGAAGTAAGAGAGTCAAATGGGGATTTCTAAATGTCATCTACTAAAAAAGATTCATCTCTACTGATGCTCCTTCCCTAAGTGAATGCAAAATTCCAGATACTGCTGTTGGTGGATTCACAAGATGCTTGCTATGTAAAAACAAAGCTGTTGGGAGTTTAAGGGCATTTCCACATTTGATTCTAAGAATAGTGTTTTGGTTCTCCCCCCCCCCCCATTTCTCCCCATATATGTAAGTTAAAGGATGGGACCTCAAGGATCTAAAAATGTATTTAGATAATAAGGATAACCAGAATAACTCCCCCATTACTTTCTGCTTTCTATATCTTATTCAACTTTAGTGATGCCAATGGTATGCAATGTGAGAAGCATAATTCAGGGGAATGTAGATAGTGTATAAAATGAAATGGAATGTATAAACATTGCAATACTTAGGGTGTGCAAGCTAAAATGAATAGGAATGGGACATTTTGAGTCAGATAATTACACCGTGTTTTACTCATGAAATAAACATCTAAGAAAAAAATGAGGTTGAAATAATAGTGAGGAGAGATGTAACAAAAGCAGTCAAAGGATATAATTAAAATGTCTGACTGAATCATGTCAATAATTCAGGGAAAATCTGTCAACCTTAATCCAAGTTTATGCTCCAACTGCAGAGGCAGAAGATGAAATTGAAAGATTCTAATCTGGAGCCCAGGAGCAAACTGATCACACCCCAAACAAGATTTCTTGTTAATCATAGGCGATTGGAATGCAAAAATAGGAAACAGTATTGTAGGAAATTTAACTGTATTAATATTCCATGCAAGCAAAGTGATGCTCAACATTCTATTTAAAAAAGATTTTTCTGTATATTGAGCGAGAAATGCCAGATATCCAAGCTGGGTTCAGAAGAGGAGGATTCACAAGGGATCATATTGCAAGCATATGTTGGATAATGGACCACACCAAAGAATTTCAAAAGAAAATCAGTTTGTGCTTTATAAGGTATAGCAAAGCCTTTGATTGTGTAGATCATGAGAAACTATGTATTGCTGTTAAAGAATTGGGTGTACCACATCATATGATTATTCTAATGTATAACTTGGACTCAAGATAAGAGGCCATCATCAGGACATTATACAGAGAAACAGATTGGTTTCCAATTGGCAAGGTTGTCAGGCAAGGCTTCATTTTATCACCCTATTTGTTTAACTTGTATGATGAACATATACGTAAAGCAGAATTAGATATAGAGAAAGGAGGCATGAAAACTGAAGGAAGTAACATGAATAATTTAAGATATGCAGATGACACCATAGTACTAGCAGAAAAAGCAAAGACTTGGAGTTATGGAAGGTCTGATGATTTCAATTGTTTTTAAACTCTTGTTGTAATTTTTTTTAAAAAAAATATCTTGTGAGCCACCTTGGGCATAAAAATGAAACAAACAAATAAATAAACAAAGTAACTATTGCTGGAGAAAGTAAAGGAAGAAAGTGTAAAGGCAGGTTTACAATTGAATATTAAAAAACCAAAAATAATGACCGTAGATGATTTGCATAACTTTAAAGTAGAATATGAAGACAATGAAAGAGTTCAAGATTTTCCATAGCTTGGCTCAGTCATTAATGACAATGGAGACTGCAGTCAAGAAATCAGAAAAAAGCGTAGAACTTGGAAGGATTGTAATGAAAGAACTAGACAGGATCCTGAAATGTAAAGATATATAATTGAATACTTAATTTAGGATTGTCCATGCCATCATATTTCCCTTTTCTATCTATAGTTCTGAATACTGGACAGTGAAGAAAATGGATAGGAAGAAAATGAACTAATTTGAAATGTGCTGGAGAAGAGTTCTATGGATACTGTGGGCTGCTAAAAAGAGAAATCAAGCCTGAAGTCTCCCTAAAAGCCAATATGACTAAACTGAGACTATCATACTTTGGACATAGGAGTTTATCACATGGGGGAAATCCCGTGTGGAAACGGGGCTTTAAATTAAACAAAACACGCAAAAGTGGGTGTTTTGTCAGACGACGTCGCTGTTAAAAGGAGTTTAATCTGAATGGAAATTAGACAAAAACTGCTTCTTTTTACTTTTGGAAGATATCAAAAGTAAAAAGAAGCAGTGTTTGTCTAATTTCCGTTCGGATTAACCTCCTTTTAACAGCGCTTTCACTTTTCACATAGGACAGAACAGGAGAAATCTCGTTCATTAAAAGCTTCCACTTTTGCTGGGTTTTTTTTACTTTAAAGAGTGATTTTGCACGGGGCTCCCCGTGTGATAAACTCCATACATTAGAAGTATGACTCCCTAGAAAAGACAGTAATATTTGATAAGGTAGAAGGCAGTAGGAACAGAGGAAGATGGGATCCAAGTCGATAGACTTACCGGTAATAAAGAAAGCCATGGCCTGAGTCTGGGCTGTTGATGACAAGGTGACTTGGAGGTCTCTCATTTATGGGGTTGCCATAAGTTGGAAGTTGACTTGATGGCAGTTAACAACAGTATGACATTATCTAAGCCTAAATACCCTGAAGGCACCAAATTCCATTGAAAGCTCTTGGGTCAGCTGTGGTTAGTACTTGGAGGGGAGATTGTCAATGACTATCAGGTTCTGTGGACTATATTTCAGTGGAATCCACCTCTGAGGATTCCTTGCCTAAGAAAACCCAATGAAATCCATAGGGGTCACCATAAATTGACATATGACATGAAGGCACACACACAATATTTGCCTATTAGATTAACAAGACTGTGGCTCTGGGAGAGGGGTTCTACCAAACCCAGGAGGGAAATATTAATCGAATGAGATATCACTTTAAAAAACCTTGCCAATCAGCTGCTTTTTGAAATGTGTGTTGAGGGAAGCAGGTAGGATGTGTGGGTGTTCTTGGTCTACCAGAGAGGCAGTAATCTTATTGATATCATCATCATCACTGGGAAGATGACAGCATGTGATCATCAATTTGGGCTCTTCTCTCTTTCCATTGAAAGTAAGAGCAAGGGAATTTCTCACCAAGAAGGAACCTTCTGCAAAACAAGAAGAGAAAGTGATACCCTCTGGGTTTTTTTCTACCACAGCCATACAAGTGTGTACCTTACAGGAAAGAACACCTGGCCTTTAGGGGTACATAGCATTGAAAACAATGTCCCCCTAAATCAGGAGTTGGCAAAAAGTGTAGCCTTTGAGTCACATGCAACCCTAGGGACATTTTTATTGAGTGAGCTATGCAACATTCACTTGCTGTGGCAATTTCCCCCCAGCAAAATTGATAGATAGATAAATAGACAGACAGACAGATAGATAGAAAGTGCTAGGTTTTGTGGTAAAATGGGATGCAGTGCTGTCTCAGATCTTTCAAAACTCTGCCCTTTTCTGTGTTTTATTTTTCATCATTCTCCATCATTTTTGGTCAGTATTGTTGCTTTTGTTATGTACAATCAAGTTGGTTTTGATTTATGGCAACCCTAAAAAGAAAAGAGAAAAGAGCCAGTGTGGTGTAGGTGTACAAACCTCCCCTGAACAAATCTTGCCAAAAAACAAGCAAGCAAACAAACAAACAAACAAAAACCCAAACACCATGATATTGCCTTAGGCTTGCCATAAGTCAGAAATGACTGGAAGGCACACAGCAACAAGATTATGTCAATGGAGCTTGCTTTCAAGACGAGACAAAACAATACAATGTCTTTTTAAATTTAGTAGATTTTTCTTCCAGGTAAGCATGAACAAAATGGTCTTTCAAAGCTGCCATATTATTGAATCATGTTGTCCCCCAAGAGGTTTAAAGTACAATAGCCTGTTTAGTTATTTTGGTGTCTAGTGAGAGTTGACTCATTGATTTTTGGTGTCCAGAGGTATTGATAGGGTTAGGGTTAGGTGATCATGGGAACTGTAGTTTATTGTGGCACCAGAGCTCTCTGACAGAGAAGGCTCAATGTCTCAGAAAAAAAAATAGTTCCCATGATTCCCTAGCACTAACTCTAACCCTTAAAGTGGACTCAATTTGCACTATTTCTGGCAGTCTGCAACCCCCCTTAGTTTATTTTTTTTGTCTGCTTTCTTCACTATCCAGCTTTCCCATCCATCCATATAAATTGGAAATACTATGGGCTGAATGATCCTGACTTTGATGTACGTGTGTTTATATGTGCTTTCACGTTGCCTATCGACTTATGGCAACCACATGAATTTCATAGGAACTTCCTGTGTGATGCTGATACAAAAACTCAGGGCTTGTGCCACAAAGTTTGGTTTGGATTGGACCATGCAACAAACTCCATAGTTTGTATTTAAAGCTTCATTTCTTCCATCAAGGCATGGAGCTGATGTAGCCTTTGAAAGGGCTGCTGTATTTCTGAATTGGGTCCCAGTGTGAGTTTGCTGAACCAATCAAGTGTTTCCTCAGGAAAAAGCTCTCTGGTTTCTGCTGTGATGGTTCCAGGAGGCCAGCCAAAGCAAGCAGAAAAGTCTCCTTGTTTGTCTAATTTTTAAAAATCATTAATAAAAACACAAACTTGTAGGCCAAAAGGATGCTGACGCTATTAGATCCAGGGCTGTTTTTTTATTGTTTTTATGTCACAGTGTGTGGTAGACAGTGGGAGGTACGTGGAATTTAGATAAAGGAAGGATCAATTTGACCTCTAGATGCTTGTTTAGTATGAATGAAGAACAGAGTTGTGGAATCATTAGTTACCAAGAACTAGCTGCAAATAAGCAGTTGCTTGCGATTCATTTCTTTCCCAATACACAAAGTGCAACTTCTTCTTGTTGCTGCTGTTGTATGACTTTAAGTTGTTTCCAACTTATGGCAACCCTAAACCTATCATGGGGTTTTCTTGGTAAGATTTGTTCATTGGGGTTTGCCATTGCCTTCCCCTGAGGCTGAGAGCATGTGACTTGCCAAGGTCACCCAGTGAGCTTCATTGCCAACCAGGGAACTGAACCCTGGTTTCCAGAGTCATTGTCCAATACTCAAACCACTATGCCATGCTGGCTGTCATTACAGTAAACGTATATTGGCTATGCAGCAAAATACAACAAAATCTACAAAACAGTGATACCTTTATTAGACCAATAATAAAGTACAAAATACAGTGTTCAGGCTTTCAAAACTTCTCTGACTGCTTTATCAGGCAAAGATGTTAAAAATCATACAGTAGAAGTAAAATGATGCTACAGGCCTATGTTTTGTCTCAGATGTTTCCTCTGTGTTCAGTTTTGATGGTCTAGAGCAGGGGTAGGCAACCTAAGGCCCGGGGGCCGGATGCGGCCCCCCGAGGCCTTTGGACTGGCCCCAGGCCAGTCCTGCCGCCCCCCACCGCCCCCACCCGCCATGATAATATTGATTATTGTTGTTATTACTTGTTCTTGGGGTTTTCTTGGCAAAATCTCCACAGGGGTTTTGCATGGCTTTTCCGGGGCTGAGCAGTGTGCATGCATTTTTTTTTTTAAAAAATAAATTAAAAAATATTTTTGTATTTATTTATTTATTTATTTATTTATTTTTGGTGCTTTGGCCCCCCCAATTGTTTGAGGGACAGCAACCTGGCCCCTGGCTCAAAAAGGTTGCCTACCCCTGGTCTAGAGGTATATTAGTGTAGGTAGAGGTCATTCCCCTTCTTGGCTATGTGTGGACCTGACAGCAGCAAGAACTATAGATACACGCAACTCTTTTGCAGCAGAAAATAAATTACATCAGTAAACAGCGTGAGACATATGTACAACTGCAGAGCACAATGGGACACTATGTACGTAACTAGCCGGTCTATGGTGAGTGGTTTAATTAACACTCCTTACCTCATACTTAGAACAAAGAGTTCCCCTAAGGCCTGTTTCTGAGCAACCTCAGAGTCTCATCCAGGTTCCTCCTTCCTCCAACATTTCCCATTCAGGTCAGTAATTAGGAAAGAGTCAGGAACTACTCTGTGGCTGTTTACATTGCCGCTAGTTCACAACAGTAACAAAACTTTTCAAATGACTCTGTAGCTTTGTGCCTTTTAACACAAGCCTGACCTGTGGATATTAGCAGCGGACCACACTGTGAAAGGCTTTGCCCGATCATTTCTACAAATAAGCACAAGAACAGAGCTAATTGTTGTGCTGTGACTGGTTGTCAACACTCGTGGTTCTCAGTGGTAAGGGAAATGCAGTGTTCACATGCTAGTGGAATCTCTCTTTATCATAGGCCTATTCAAATATATACTCCAGAGTGAGCAAAGGTAGATGCGGAGGTTCAGGTCAAGAGACTGTATGAATACGTTGTTGTTGTTGTTGTGTGCCTTCAAGTCGTTTCTGACTTATGGTGACCCTAAAGTGATTCTATCATGGGGTTTTCTTGGCAAGATTTGTCCTGAGGAGGTTTCCTATTGCTTCTCCCTGAGGCTGAGAGAGTGTGACTTGCCCAACGTCACCAAATGGGTTTCATGGCGAAGTGGGGATTCTAATGCAGTTCTCCAGGATTGTAGTCCAACACTCATATCACTACACCATGGTTAAAAAACAGTGCATAGGTAGGTTTATCTGTGGTTCCACTCCCTGATTTCTGCATGGCCTCACATCTTCTGTATGAAGCCTATGCACACAGAGTCTATTCATACAATCTGCTCAGCATGTGTGTAAATCAGGTATGGGACCAGTGGGCATGATTACAATCCTTCCTTACCCATATAAATTCATTCATCCTGATTATGGTTCTGAAGAGGGATCCTGTATTTCACATCTTCCATAACTGTACCTCTTTTACATCAGAAGTTGGCTCCCAGGGCCCATTCACACTACCCAATTGTAACACTATGATTCCACTTTAACTGCCACAATTCCACCCTATGCAATCTGCAGTGGAGGGAATACCTTTTTAATCTGGAGTACCCCCTACCCACCTACCTTCCCAAACCACAGATCCCAGGATTCCAGAGGATGCAGCCATGGCAGTTAAAGTAAAACCACAGTGCTGAAACTATTTAGTGAAAAGGCCCTAGGGCTCAGTTCTGATGAGCTAGCTGTATCCACTTTAGTCCTCTTCGCAAATTGAAATCTAAGTAGGTATAATCTCTTGTTATATTTTCCTTCTTTCTCTTCTCTTCTCTTCTCTTCTCTTCTCTTCTCTTCTCTTCTCTTCTTCTCCAAACATTCATGCGCACACTCCTTCCCATGTGCCTTTGGCATGGAAAGGATTGTGTTTTCCCTGTAGCCTTCTGAGACTTTTCACATATGAAGCTTAATTTTCACATATGAGGCTTTTGATTAAATCCTGCTTTAGAGTGGGTATGAAACCTACTTTGACCAAAATGTACAGCCACTTTTAAAATGGCTATATTTTACTTTTTAATCTCACATTAACACAGAGCAGAAAGTGGTATCATGCATGAAATCCATGTGAGATGTGAAACTTTGGCTTGCCTGTGCTGCAAGCCTTAGATGTGCTTCTCTGGGAGGACTCGACACTTCTTTCCTTAGTGGCTAGAGTTGCTATCTAGCTTTTGAGACACCTAATCTGTTTCTGAATATTTGAGCCCGCTGTCAGATGACTGAAGGCTCATGACAGATGAAGAACAGAACATTTTATAGGGGCTCTGACTCCTGACCTGTCTCTGATTCCTGAATTTATCTGTGCCTTGTGAGGAATTTGCAGCCATATGAGTTGAAAAGACCTTTAACTCTTTTCTTACAGAAAAGCTTCTGAGCATATATTTTTTGCAAGGCAGTGACTCACATGTAACTCCTTGTCATCCAAAGCTGGAACTGATGACTTTCCCATCTCCAGGAAATACGCACAAGGCATGAGGATGGGGGTTGTGGCCTGTGCTGATGATCCATCGTCCTCCTCAGTTGTTCAGGAACCAGATGGCAGAACATGGCTAAGGGCTTTGTCTTGGGACCCAGCCAGGGATGTGATTCCTGGAGTTGGAAAAAAATTCACCCCCAGGGAGAAGGGAATATGACCTCTTACCATCACCACTGTATACTTCAATCAAGATAAATGGTTGGGTAGGGGCAGGGATTATCACCATAGTGTGGAATGTTAACCCAGCTTCCAGAGTTGTATACAATTTTGAACATGTACCAGAAAATCCATTGATATGCCTCCTATAGTGGTATGCACATAAATAAACTAAATAAATGACAATTTGTGGTCTTGAGCTGATCTTTCTCACTATGCCTAACAAAGAAGGCTACATATTTCTTTATTTAAAGCATTTTTATTCACCCTCGCAAACCAATATACCCAACAAGAGCAAGACAAAAATCGGATAGGATATTTACATTAATGACATTTCTTAAGTTTCTCTTTAAATTACACAGTAATTCAGTGGTGGGAAACATTATTTGGGACAGGGCCGACACCCTCCTCCAAACCTCTGTGCTGGCTGGACGATGTCAAGGGGTGCAGTGGCCATGACCCTAGATATATAGCTGGTCCAAGAGACCCCAGCTTGGCTGCATGTGAAGGCACCAATTACAGGAATATTTCTGGAGTTGACACCTAGCTCAAGGAGCTAGCAGTGCTGTGTGCAGAAAAGCCAGTGCCAGAGAAAGCCTGTGCATAGGGAAACCAGTGGGGATGATGTGAGGCAGATGAAACACCATTTCTGAGACATACCCTCCAACTCTCCTGATTTTGCAGAGACAGTCCTGATTAATCCTTTGTCATCTCATTTTTTCAGATGCTTTAAACATGTTCCAGTATCTTTTCCATCCTCCCACTTTCCCCCTTTGTCCTCAGCTTACTTCAGTTGCTGCAAACTGGTTTCACAATGCAAAAGTAGTTTGCAATTACTTATCTCAGCAGAGTGGAGACAAGAGGATGGGGACAGAGTCTTGTCCTTCCCAGTAGATTCAGGTAAAAACAAATTGGTGCAACCTCTCCTAGCTTGTGTGTTCTTCCACATTAATAATTTTTGCCATTTTGACCAGACTGTGGACGTTATCACATGGGGTCTAAAGCAGACAGAATCCACACTA